GACCTCAGTTGTTTTTTGTCTATTAATCAAGACTGAAACTATGGTTTAACAGACATTTAACAATAGTTACAGCTGGAACTGGTGAGATAACATGAAATCAACTAAAAACAGTGTTAGACCAAACTGAACAGGCAGAATTTTCAACTAAAATTTTAGGCCTGCCTAGGTTAGCAGAGCAAGTGGTTAAGGAACCCCTGAAAATTGATGACCTAGGGCAAGGTCTTGCACTTGAAAGAAGTGGTGAGGAAACCTGAAAACTGATAATTTAACAGTGAACTGTTACACAAGGAAACCAATCTTTATGGGAAGTGCATCTTCTCAAGAAACTTTATCTTAATTGCAAAATACAGACAACCACAAGATAAAGCAAATACAGAAAACTGGGCATATCAGGCGTCGTCTCTCAGCCTGAGACTGAGGAAAGTTAAAAAACATTTCTCTACCAACCGGTATTGGACCAGCTTGTTAGATAATGGTACATAAACATTAATTAAGAGGTTATACAAATACATACTTATACATATACATTTAGACACATGTGCATGGTCTAGTGATGATTTTCATTCTATAATTCTAAAGTTACCTATTCTAGCCCATATTTTCAGATTCAGTTGGAAAAGATCAAAGGTTTGCTCAAATGTGTAGCCTTGAAAATTAACATCACGGACATTTGCTCTGAACCTGACAAAGAGCCACTAGGCCACTCACATCGATTCAATTCACCTTTGGACAAAATGTCAAGGGGCCTAGGGTTGTCTATTTATTCATGGTCTGAAAAAAAAAGAGTAGACATTTCTTGAGGGAACAGATCTCTTTAACAAACAAAATGGGCAAATATTTTATCACAGTAATTATTAACAGGAGTTTTTCTTTTCTCCTTCCCATGGGTATAGCGTAAGGTGGGTGGTGATTACCCCACGATTCAGGGCAACATAGTATAAAAGTTCCACCTGTCCATTTGCTCTTCCTACTTTGTCCACTCTAGCCCCTAAACAATCTGGAACCATGAAGTGGGTAACATTCATTTCTTTCCTTTGCTTGGTAAGCTTTGCTGAATTGAAAAACCTGCCCAGAAGATATCGGCATGTTGGTATGGTGTTTTCTTTTTCTCACTTTCTCTTCAAAATGATCGGTTTTTCACTTCTTCATGTCATTGCTAAGATTTGTATTGAGTTTGTAGTGTTATTGTGGAAACAAAGAGTAAACACTTCGTCCACAGGGAATTGTGTGTTCCTTCAATAG